CATCTTTTAGCGGCCATCTGTGTCCATATGGGGGCAACCATCTTTGACCACATGGGGGAAGCCATCTTGTGTCTTGGAGTGATGGTCAATTTGCATATTACTCTTTTATTAGATAGGATTTTTAACGTTTTTTTTAATTTTCAAAAGAGCATCTTCCCTAGCATTTTATCCTGTAACTGATTTACATTTATACTAAAGGCCAGGTACATGAGATTTGTGCACTCTGGGGGGTCCCTCAGCTGGCCTGCACTCTCTTGCAGTTCGGGAGTCCTTGGGGGATGTCCAATAGTCAGACATCCTTAGCGCTACCGTGGCCCCTGCTGCACTCACCACCACCACCACAGCTGTGCTCACCAGCCATGAGCCTGGCTTCTGGCTGAGTGGTGCTTCCCCAGTGGGAGCTCCTGTGTTGAGTTGTGCCCCCTGGTGGTCAGTGCGACAAGTTGTTCAGTCTATTTGCATATTAGTCTTTTATTATATAGGATATTGGTTTTTATATACTGATTTTCTAATTTGCTACTTTATTACATTCTCTTATTCCTTTTCAATTGATTCTTTTATCTGGTCTAGATGTATAATTATCCTATACTAGAGGCCTAGTGCACAAAATTCACGCATTCGGGGGGTGAGGGGGAGACAGGTCCTCTCAGCTCAGCCTGTGCCCTCTTGCAATCCAGGAGCCCTTCAGGAGATATCTAACTGACAGCTTAGGTCCACTTTGGGAGCATGCCTAAGCTGTCAGTCGGACATCCTTAACACTGCTGCATAGGTGGGAAAGGCTCCCGCCACCGCCCCTATGCTTGCAGCCAAGATTCTGGCTTCTGGCTGAGTGGTGCTCCCCGTCTAGGCGCGCACTGACCACCAGGGGGCAGCCCCTGCATTGAGTGTCTCCCCCCTGGTGGTCAGTGCGCATCATAGCAACCGGTCATTCCATCATTGGGCTGAAACCATTTCTCTGACATCCCCTGAGGGGTCCCAGATTGCAAGAGGGTGCAGGCCAGGCTGAAGGTCTCCATTGGTGCACAATTGGGGCCACGGAGGGACATAGGAGGTTGGCCAGCCGGGGAAGAACCATGGGTGGGCACCAGGGTGTGTTTGACCCATCTCACTCAGTCCTGATTGGCTGGACCCCAGTAGCAAAGCTAACCTATTGGTTGGAGCTTCTGCCACCCGGTGATCAGTGCATGTCATAGCAAGCAGTTAAGCAGCCTTAGCATATCATTAGCATATTATACTTTGGTTGAACAGCCAACTGGACAACTGGACACTTATCATATTAGGCTTTTATTATATGCTAATAAATTTTACTATAATAAAAGTATAATATGCAAATTGTTGAATGACCGAACAGCAGAATGACCATCCGGTCAACCATCCAGACAACCATCCGGGACCATGCTATGATACTCACTGGTGCCAGGCCAGCCAGGGTGGGTGCCATGTGATTGGTCGGGAGCCTGGCCATTACCGCATGATTGCCCCGCAGAGGAAGGCCCAGGACACTGACTGGCAGGGTGATCAATCAAGGGGCTCCATGATTGCCCCAAAGTGGTAGGCTCAGGCCTCCGACAGGTGGGCTGTAGTGGGTGAGCGGGGCCTCCCTCTGCGAGGGAAGCCCAGGTCCTGGGTGCTGGCAGCTGGAGGGAGACCCAGGTCCCAGGTGTAGGAGGGAAGCTGGTGCCGGCAGCTAGGGGAAGGAAGGACTACTCTTGCATGAACTTTGTGCATCAGGCCTCTAGTATCTACATATAAAGATAGCTTTGCCTTTGTCTTCTGAATTCTCATGTTTCCATTCCTTTCCCCTATCTAATTACATTGACTAATACCTCTAACACCCTGTTTATAGTAATGGAGATATTAGTATTCTAACCTTGTTCCTGTCTTTAGGGGGAAAAGCTTCCAGTGTTTTACCAAATAGGATACAAAACATGTTTTTAATGTTCTTTTTAGGGATTTAAGTTTATATTTTAAAATTAGAAGTGTAAGCAGTTACCTCTATTGGGAATATTATTATCTTAAATAGTGCTCTGTAGCTTTTGAAGTATTTTTAAATATTTAATTTATTTGGTTTTGTGAGCTAAAAGGGCAAATATAGCATTTTAATTTTATAGTTTGGAGAAATTAAGTAATTGCCTTAGGTCATGATGTTAGGAAGAGGTAGAGCCAAGACTTGCTTTTTATTGTTTCTGTACTCAAGGCTACATACTTACTTTTCCTTCAGGAAAATTCTAGATTTAGGACAATGCTTTTTATACGTATGAGAATATATAAATAAGTTATTTTACTTTTTAAAATGTAACTTGTAGTGGTTATTAAGTGTGTGTGCTTGTGTGTGGTTTATTTCTTTCTTTCTTTCTTTTTTTTTTTTTGAGAGTAAAACATCATATATAATAAAAGCCTAATATGCAAATCGACCAAATGGCAGAATAACTGGTTGGCAGGGGTGGGGCCAGCAAGCAGGCAGCACCTGGCCAGCCAAGATGGGGCCAGTGGGCAAAGAGAGGGGATTGCAATCAGGGGTTGGGAATGGGTCTGTAGCGACCAGCAGCGGTGGAGGGGCAATCAGGGGGCAGGGCCAGCCATTTGCCTACCAGTGCCATCTCCTGATCAGACAGCTGGTCACCTCCCACAGAGGAGCAGGGCCTGAGCTGCCCCCTTGTGATCAGTGCGCTCCCACAGGGAAAGCGCTGTTCAGCCACAAGCTGGGCTGATGGCTGGCGAGCACAGTGGCAGTGGTGGGAACCTCTCCCGCCTCTGTAGCAGCACTAAAGATGTCCACTGGGGAGCGGGTCTAAGCTGTCAGTTGGACATCCCCCAAGGACTCCTGGACTGTAAGAGGGTGCAGGCCGGACTGAGGGACCCCAGCAGGCCTCTAGTTATAGATAAGTCTAAAGTACTCTTTAATGATCAACTTCAGTCCCATTCCCTCTCCTCAAAGACAACTACCCACATGAGTTTGGTATGTTACCCTTCTGTCCATTTTTTAAAAATCAATAATTCACAAACAAAATGTATGATACTATGTTAGTGATTAAGGATAATATCAAAATCTACCTTATGTTCTATATCTTTCCTTTTTTCACCCATCATCATTATATGGATCTTGGAGTATGCAAAGCTTTTCTCAACATGACATAAAATGAGGAATCCACTTTTAGAATCTAGATGTTTAGACAAGTCTAGTATCTTCCCACTATCATATTGCCTCACTAAGCTGTTTCATTAAGACTTCTAAATTTTAGAAATATGCTTTCAGTTTTGATTAAACTTCATCTGGTCTAAGTTGTAACAGAAGAATTAAGGGAGAGATGTGAAACATGTAAATATAAAGCATTTTTGGACTATTTTGTGTTTTCAGACAGCTGAATAAAAAGTGCCTCTTTAACAGAAAGTTTGTTACTACTGTGATTCATCTTGCCTGCAGAGGGAGGGTTCATGATGAAATGCTATATAATGGTGTGCTACTATATATCTCTTTCTACCTTTCTGTTCAGTGATGTCAAGTAGGTAGCTTGAAATCAACCGTATTGAGGCAAATGCTGTAAATCATAGCGTTTCTGTGTTATACATTAAAGTTTGGTAAAAAGTGAGTTATACCTGGCTGGCTTGGCTCAGTGGTTGAGCATCAACCTATGTATCGGGAGGTCAGGGTTTGATTCCTGGTTCAGGGTATATACCTGGGTTGTGGCTTGATCCCCAGTTGGGACATGCAGGAGGCAGTTGATCAATGACTCTCTCTCATCATTGATGTTTCCATCTCTCTTTCCCTCTCCCTTAGTCTCTGAAATAAAAAGTATATTTTCTTAAAAGTGACTTACTTCCTTGAATTAAATCAATTTGTATCCATGATAGTGGCAAAATCTATTCAAAACTGTATGCAATACAAAGTTCCAACACTTAAAATTTAAAACTGACTAGGAGTAGGGAAGTTGGGCAGAATATTAGAGTATCTTATTCAGAAGTCTTTTTTGTTGTTGATTTCCACATTGGATATGAGAAGCTTCACCACTCAGGTGCTGCAAAATATCAGTATAAAGCCAGTATATAACTGCCATTTTTGTTGTAAGAATTAAATTTTGATGGTTTAGACAGGAATCTGCAAACTTTTCTGTAAAGGACCAAGTAGTATTTTCAGCTTCTCTGGCCATGTGGTCTCTGTTGCAACCACTCAACTCTGCTGTTGGAGCCAAAAGCAACTATAGATAATAAAGAAACAAATGGGTAAGACTAGCTGGTTCCAATAAAACTTTATTTTTAAAAAAACAAACATAGAAACAAACAGTAGTTGGGTGGAAATGACCCACAGGCTATAGTTAGATAATTTTTGTTTAAAGGCAGTGGTGTACTGGTAAATGTCTAACTGACTCTTTGGAAAGAAGGGTAAGCCCTGATTTACAGCATTTGCCCCATTACGGTTGATTTCAAGCTACCTACTTGACATCACTGAACAGAAAGGTAGAAAGAGATATATAGTAGCGTTTCATCATACAGATACCCTAGATGTAAATAACCTCAAGAACACAGATAATAGTAACATGAAATAAAGTAAGGAAGTGATGAGTTTGAATATTTATTACTTTTCAATATAATTTATTTAAATGCAAATTCAGATAATTTAATTATGAATGATGTCTATGTGTAATATCTGGCTCACAAAGTTCCTAAAATTTAACAATTGGCTCTGGTGAAACTAATTCATTATGAACCTAATTCATCACACCACTGAGTTGGAGGACATAATTGCAAATTTTGTTTTAATAAGTTACATACTGAATCATAAGTTATATGAATTGTGTTCATATGCAACTTTTCCACTGATCTTGCTCATTTGTTTTAAATAAGAATCTGAAAGAATAATTTTAAGTGAGAGTTGACTTTCAGATATGCTTTATTCCTTGGTTCTTTATTTTAACTTTCAAGTGATAGTATATGAAGTAAATATGGGTCAGTAGATTTTGTCAGTATATTATATATGTTAATGTTTCTTATTATTTGATTTTTTTTCTCCTTAAGGAATAACTGTGACACCTGATGAAGAAAAAAACTTGAATCATTATGTACAAGTTTTACAGAATCTACAACTAAGGGTTCCCACTAGGGCGCCAGGCCAAGAGAAAATATCAGTGTCTCCAAATAACATTTATTCTATGAGACAGACGACTTCAAATAACATTTATTCTATGAGACAGAAGACTTCAAATAACGTTAATTCTGTGAGACCGAAGTCTTCAAATAACGTTTATTCTATGAGACCAAAGGTATCACAGTTTAAAGAGTTAATTTCACATGATAAAGTTTCAACTGAGAATGATGTTTTAAGTGACCCTATCAGTGATAAAGCTACACGTTTCCCTACTAAAGACTTCCAACCTGAAATAAGGAGGAACAAACATACTAAAAATACACCATTCTGGTCGATTAAACCAAATAATATTTCTGTTATTTTAAGTTCAAAAGTACCTTATATTGACAGAGAGCCACAGCCACAGCCAGAGCCAGAGCCAGAGTCAGAGGAGTCACAAACTGAGACATCAATGTTTTGGCCAAATGTTACTGAATTACCTCCAAGTTCTTCCAGGATGAGCACTGACTGGGATACCTCCACAGAACTAGAAGATGTTCCTCAGCTATCAGGGGAATATGAAATACCAATATATGAAAGTCATCCACTAATTTTGAGTGACGAAGAAATTTTGGATAAAATATCAGATATTCGTTCGGAAGCACAACACGTACCTCTTGTTGAGAGCCTCAAGCCAGAATATAGAGAGGACATTCAAGCCTCTAAAGAGAACCTAAAACGAAGCCTTGCTTTAGCAGAAGCAGCAGAACACAGATTACAAAAAATGTATAGATCCCAGTTATTACCAGTAGGACGCAGCAGTTTTCTAAGTGATGACATTGAAACTGTTATTAACACGCTGTATAACTCTAGATCTAAGTTATCTCAATATTTAGATATTAAATATGCTCCAATAGATATGAGACAGAAAGCTATTACAGTAATACGTATATTGAAAAACAGATTATGTACAAATCGACTAGAATCTCAAAACCTTATTAGGCAGTTATTAAACAATAATATAAAAATTTTAAACCTACTTGATGTTCCATAACAAAGGTGATCTAAGAAAACTGGGCATTCATTAACAGGAGAAATAAGCGTACTAGTAATTCAAAAGTTATATAAAATATTTTCTATTGTAGTTCAGTGTGCTCACATCTTTACATATCATATGTTATGAACATTTTTCATATGCACTAATATGCCTAAAATTTTAAAATAAAAGTTTGGTTCAGGAGTTTGTAGTTTTCTTTCATTAATTGATTTTTTAAATTATGAAGATCTAATCTTCAAAATATTTAAGCTTTGGTTTTACTTGAATAAATTGATTAGATTCACCCATTTAATAAGAGTTAAGGACTGTGCAAACTCTATATGTAGCTAGTTTTAAATGAGGGCATATAAATGTTTAGGGTAAATTGTCTTTATTACTCTTTGAGAGAATCTAGTTTTCTGTTTGACTAGCATAGAAAAGTAAAGCTTGTATCAAAATTACTTTTATTTGGATATATGTGTGCCTCCTTTGAAAAGTGGATAATACATTAAGATATATCTTTTTCTTTGCTGGTAAGTACTTTGGGATTATCAGCGAGGAACTGTAGCCAGAATTGGTAGTAAAGTTGTTCTCACCTATTTCCTCCTTTGTTTATATACTGTATATGTACATTGAAGCTTTGCAAATCTTTTATTTGGGAGTATGACTAACATCATTAAAGTTAACTGTGTAATATTGTAATTATGGTGCAGGTAATTCTGTTTTATAATTGGACCAGTATTTAAGTTTGTTTATTTATTCATCAACCCAATCATTATTAGTTTAATAAAGATATATTGACCTTTTACTATGTACAGGACAAAATAGCAGGCTTTTGGGCTATAATAAATCAGACCCAAGCTTTCCTTCTTCCTTTATCAGGTTGTGTGGACTCCATGAAGTTTGAGGTAAGGTGTTGCTGCAAAAGATGTAGGAGACAAACATCTCACTTGTTTCTGTAGCTTATCTGTGCCTTCTGTGTCTACTTGAGCTCAATCCTGAATATATCATTTCTATCATACAAAGGATTACTGCTCATTGGTCCATTTCTTGACATGGTGGATCTGACAATATGAATGTCAAGAGCAAAACTCTGGCTATTAAATAATAATGCCAATGCAAAACAACAAAATGAGAAATCAGAATTATGGACATATTAATATTTTTAGCTACTAAATGAGTCTCTTTTGTTGCTGGTGTAGATTTACTCAGAGTCCTTGGACTTGCTGCATAAGACTTTGCAGAAGACTGGAAGCTAGCAGATACTAGCATGAGCAGGAACATGATTAAAGAAGTAGCTTCCACTTCAATCTCTAATTTCTTCAGATGACTCCATGTTGGCACCTCAGTCCCTTGCATAGCCTTCAGTTTTCTTCTCCCACTTTGCTGTCGTCTGGGCAACTCTCAGTCTTTTTGGGTGAAGGGACACAGGAGCTTCTCTGAGTCCATTGTGATGATGGACATCACACTCTGGTACCCGAATGGGCTGCATTGCTCCTTCTTTCCTTTCACACTCTGGGCCTGGCTCCTCCGGGCCTGGCTGCTCTGGGCCTAGCTGCTGCTGCTCCGGGCCTGGCTGCTCTGGGTCAATTATGAGCTTTTTGTTGGGACTTGCCAGAGACTCTTCATAGTGTGCTTATCTACCATGGTTATCTCTAGCACCTTGGCTAGGCTGTATTACAGCATCTGAATGTCAGGGCTACCCAAAACCTGGACCTTCAATAGAGCTCTTGCTTAATCAGAGCCTCACTCAAAACTAATAGCCTTCTCAGGAACCTAATAAATGGGCTGTAGCAATATTCCCCAAAGAAGTACATGTTGTCTACAAAATCCAGAAATCCATTAGGCGCTGTGTTTGTTTCTTAGTATTAAGGGATGAGAGATACAAAGAGTTGATCTTATGGAAGGATGAATTGGCATGGTCAGACCATTCACCTGATCTGACAGACTCCTGAATCCTGATAGAATAAACCTTCTACCCTCTGGCACATTTCCTTAGACCGTCTCACTTCTTTGTTTACCAAATATAATTATGACATTTTATCAATATACAATAGTTGACCAGCAAGATATAGTGTGGAATGTTAAAAAGATCAAAGACTCTCTGGACTGTATTGTGACAGGGAACAGGAGCGTTAACATAGCCTGGGTCAATACAATGAGCATGTCTATACACACTTCCTTCCATGCAAATATTATTATAATTTGCTCTTTTATATTGATGGAGATAGAAAATATTGCATTTTCCATAATATTAGTCACATACTAAATATTATATTTGTTTTAGTAAACCAATAACCCCTGACACAGTACCTGTAATTAGAGATACCACTGGGTTGAGTCTTCAGTTAGTACACCATTATCCACCACAATCTGTGGTGGTATAGGGGGCATACAAGTTAATTGAATGGGGGAAATGATGGGTATTACCACCCCGGCATTCTTTAAGTTTTTTAGAATAATTCACTCAGCAAGGATTCATTATTTCTATTGATTTGCCATCTTGGTTATCAGGAGAGCACACTAACATAGGAACTTTCATGTGCCCTCTATATAATGTTAAGGGCAGGAAAAGAATATGAAGACTAGGAGCTGCTAAGAAAATCAGTCTCAATTATACATTTGAGGATGGTGAAATAGCCACAGGGTGGACCCCTTGAAATCACTGTGAAACAGGCTTGAGCAAGAGCTTAATTTATCACCTGGTCTTCTTGAATCCCTTCTTTGACCAGGAGCCATGATGCTGGGTGAGGAAACACTCTGATGCCACCCCTGCACTTGCATGACTCCAAGAGTTAGTACCTCCTGGATGTTGTGCCCAGGTTCCTTACTAACCTATCCCTAGTCCTGGCCCTGCTATGACAGCCTCACTCCATTCTGGTGTAGAGCGCTTGCATGTATATCTCTCTTATACCTACTCCCTACCCAACTACACAGGAGGTTCATGTCACATCTTAAGTCATAGTGATTTCTGACTCTTCAGCAAAACCAAAATGGCCCCTTCTGGGTTCTCATTGCTTAAGCCCTTAGTTTGCAGCATTTTTAAATCTTACATATTGTTTATTCTTTATTAAAATTCTACATTGAATCTAAGAATATGAACTTCATGTCATTTCATAATAATTTTTATTTGCCAAGAAATTGTTATCTTGGAATGTTATATCTTACAGAAAAGCAAGATTCTTTGTCAATTGTTTTATGGTCAAGTCTATAACCATGTCATTGTTTATTCCAGATATAAGGAAGCTTATTTATTTCCCTAGACTGATTTGGTAAATTATCAATAATAATAAAAGCATAATATGCAAATCAACTGAACAGCCAAACAGTGGAATGACCATCCAGACAACCATGCTATGACACCCACTGGTGCCAGGCCAGCCAAGGCGGGTGCGATGCAATTGGACAGGGGCCCAGCCATTGCCCCATGATGGCCCTGCAGAGGGAGGCCCGGGCCACTAGCTGGCAGGGTGATCAGTCAGTTGGGGGGGGGGGGGGCTCACAATTGCCCGAAAGAAGGAGGCAGGCCCAGGCCACCAACTGGAAGGCTGTGGTGGGTGGGGTCTCCCTCTGCCAGGTCCAATCAATCACCCCAAAGAGGGAGGCCCAGACTACCCTGTGGCAGCAGTGCAGCAGGTGTGTGGGGCCTCTCAATGTGGAGGCAATCCACGAAGCCCCAGCCAAGTGGATAGGGCCTACCTCTTTGGGGTAATCCATCACAGGGCTCCTGGACTGTGAGAGGGCACAGGCCTGGCTGAAGGACTCCCCCAACCATGCATGAATTTCATGCACCGGGCCTCTAGTATCTTCATAAGCAATGTGGAAGCATTTTTATTTTTCTCCTTACCTTATCCCTCCAGAATTTGACAACTCTCAATGAGTGAGTATAATTGTTCTTATGGCAATAAGTTTATTTACATAAATCCAATCAGAATCTATTTTCTTTATAAAATCAGGTTCCCATTATGGTTTTATTAACCAAGACTTTGATTGGAAGGCCATATCTGAGAGAGACATGTCAGGATCCTGGATGTCACTGAGAAACCTTAAGGAATAAAAGATTGGCTTTAAAACCAATAAAATCACCTTGAAGAAATGGCCTGGTGCCTTCCTTGTTACCTTGGTTCATAGCAATCTTTCCAGGTAAGGAAGGAAGGTTGCTTTCCTGAGAGATGGCAGAAAGAACCTTAAGGGGGGATTTGGGGGACCTCAAGGACTTGAGACATTCACCCAGACCTTTACAGGCAAAGCCAGATGGCAACTGTGTGGCTTGTCTTCTGTGCCTGAGGGGCTGACTGAAGCTCACTCTAAATATTTCTTATAAGTGGAATTCCAGCAAAGTAAATCTGAAAAGGCCTATATAATAAATTACTATTGTTAGTGTGGTTATACAAATAATCAGGGCAAGTTAAAACCTAATAGTCCCTTTGATAAAAAATGAGGATGATTTTAGGGAGAAAAATTCTGTTCCAATAAAAATCACAATGCCCAATTATAATATTAAACTCCAGTACAATTAGCTGCCTTCAAAGTTTTAAGGCTGTACCATATGCTATACAGACCTCAGCACCTAATAACATCACCAGAGATATTCCACCTACAGACAATCAATCGTCACTACTTGCTTGCTATCCAGCAAAAGCTTTGCATTTAAAAATCTTTTCAACTTGGTTTATGAAGTATAGTAGCAACCATACTTAGCTAAAAACTGCTGTTTGAATTTTAACCCTGCTCTTCTGGCTTTGGCACTCACTTACTTGCTTAAACATAGGGTAGTTGCCTCAGCTTCCAGATTGAGACCTGGAGGCTAAGGCAGTTTTCCTATACCTGTGGACCAGGACCACAGGAGACTGATTCCCACTGACTCAGTAGCTTCAGGAGTAGAAACTGTAGATAACGTTTAGAGATTAACCGCTGAGCTCTGCTTCTGTACTATTTGCTTTCACAAGATAGGGCCACATTCCAATGTCCAGCAGGATGTGGCTGGGAACGACCCTGCAAGCTGTTTCCAGCCTTTAGAATTTAGAGCAAAGGAAAATTCTTGTGGTTTAGACCTTTAAAAAGACTGCCTACGCCTGTAATGGCAAGGTCATGAGTGTGGCCACCTGCGTGTGGTGCTCTTGCGGCCATCCTGGCCAGTTCAATAAATCCTTGCCTGCTTTTTAAAAATCAATCATCAGCCTCTGGTGGTCTTATTC